CTATAAGGATCCAGTTACCTCGGGGTGTTGGCTTTCGAAAGAACTTATTTTTGGCTGCATGCAAGATCTATACTCTGCAAAAAATGACTACTTAAGTAGTATGCAATCTTCTCATTGATTTTCGATGCCTTTGAAAATTCAATTATATTTCATGGAAAACAGGCATAAAAATATTCATTCTTTTACTTATTCGGTAGAAAATCACGTCTTCTTCCAATTTAATACTCAAAAGAAGAGTATAATTCGGTTTTAAAAAACTTCTATTTCCCGAATAATTTTGAATCCGACCTGCTGTTACACTTGCATTCAGGGTTTCAAAACTACAAGTTGTACATTTTCTGTGTACGGAAAACCATGCATTTCTCTACGGTGTTAAGAGGAGACCATATGAGGTTCATTAAATTAAGCAGTGGATTTGTGCAATATTGTTAACTTTACAAGCCACATTCGTAAATGCAGATACATGCCGTTTCATGAACGGCCATTTAACGGTATTAAAAAATCTCACCATTAGAAACTGTTTGGAAAGCAAACAATACCCTTCTTTCGAGTATAAAATTGGAAGAAGACGTGATTTTCTACCGAATAAGTAAAATAATAAATATTTTTATGCATGTTTTCCATGAAATATAATTGAATTTTCAAGGGCATCGACAATCAATGAGGAAATCGCATGTTACTTAAGTAGTCCTTTTGCAGAGTATAGATCTTGCATGCAGCCGAAAATAAGTTCTTTCGAAGGCCGACACCCTGAGGTAACTGGATCATTATAGATTTATGCTGCATCATGATTAGTTTTACAACACTACTTAATTAATCTTTTCGAAACGAGAACGCATTTCGAAATTTTGGTTGACATGTCATGAGTTAACGTTAAGGTGCGTTCCTCTCCGTTCTCTAAATTACTCTCTTCAATTGTGTCACCAATGTGCAGTCAGCGGGGTGACAAATCGACCTACTCTACCCGCGTTACTTACGGGCTCTGATTGTCCTGTCATTCATTGTCCTAACACGAGGGGGAATCTCCCTCGAAGGGCGCCAGCGGGGGAGGGGGGAGGGGGCAATCGCCCGAAATGTTGGTGACAACTTACAGCGTGGAGTTGTGGCGAAGGTCATTGCTAGTGAGTTGGTGCGATCTCGGCCCAGTAATATGTATGCAATATATTACCCATTCCATGTAGTCCACCTTCAAGGTATTTCTTTAACATCTTTTCTAAACCACTGAAGTACATCCACAGCGAGTTTAGGCTTGCATGTTGGTTATCTTATTAGTTTCCTATCCTTCCCTTTCCTGCGCAACCTACAGCCGCCCACCCTTCCTCGCTCAACGTTCCAGAAGAGATTACGGCCTAACCGTCACTGGACTGATCCCGCACTCATTCCAACCCAGGAACAACTCAACGCCATAAAAATTAAAAAGAAGGTGGGTCCACTCACTCGTCCTCCCCCTCTCCGCTTCCCGGTTTTTTTTCTACTGCTGTGCCGCTTTTGATTGCGTACACGAATTAAACTCCCTTTCTAACTTTCCTCCCTCAGGTGTTAATGATCGGCTCCGATCGGTTCAACATCAAACCCCGAGATGGTATCGCCTATCTGCAACGGCATGGTCTTCTGTCTGATCCACTTGATCCCCTGCAGATGGCTGCCTTCCTGTCTGAGAACCCACGGCTTGATAAGCGCACCATAGGTGAATTCCTCAGTGTGCGCAAGAACTCCGAGATCCTGTATGCCTTCGTCAGGTGCGCTAAAGACGCAGTGAACTGCGCATTCTATGTTTTGTCCGAAGTATGCGGGCCCGTTTCACCGACGGTCAGAGTCCTATGTCCGCCATAACCCACTGGCTTTTCCCTTTTCTATCTTGATAAACTCCACAGTGGATGACAAAATCCCGGTCTCATTTTCTAAGCCAGTCAGGTCTTTGAGAGGCCACAGTCTCGCGCGTACAACCGTCGTGTGTTATCCTACTAGACACTTGTAAATTTAAAAGTATGGCTCAAACCCACTGCTAAATTTTTGAACCCCATATGTTCTCCTCTTAATACCGTAGAGAAATGCATCGTTTTCCGTACGCGGAAAATGCACGGCCTGTAGTTTGGCTACCCTGACTACACGTGTAACGGCAGGTCGGGTTCAAAATTATTCAGGAATTGGAAATGCTTTTGAAAACCGAATTATACCCTTCCTTTGAGCATAAAATTGGAAGACGTAATTGTCTACTGAGTGAGCATAAGAATGAATATTTTCCATGAAATAAAAGTGAATTTTAAGGGACATCGAAAATTAATGAGGAAATTCGTACTTATTAAGTAGTCCTTTTTTGAAAAAGTATAGTTTTCGCATGCAGCCGGAAGGAAGTTCGTTCTAAAGCCGGCATCCTGAGGTATCTGAGGTATGCTGCACCGTGATAAGTTTTACAACCCTACTTAATTAATCTTTTCGAAACGAAAACGCATTTCGGAATTTCGGTTGATATTTCATGACTTAGCCCACATACTGTACTTTTTCGGTTCGAATCGCTCTGTTTGCACACCACCTTGTCCATTTCCACTTATTCAACCCAACCTCGAGGACCAATCCAACCTCTAGTTCTCATAACACCACAACTACAGAGAGATGTACAGTAGTTGTGCTATCTCACGACATGTTGACCGAAATCCCGAAATATGTTTTTCGGTTCGGAAACGCTACTTACATAGGATGGTGACGTTAATTATCGTACAGCACAATCCTAAGCTTTTTTAGTCATACCACGATGCCGGATTTTGAATTAACTTCTTTCCAGCCGTCTGAAAGAAACCGTACCCTCCAAAAAGGGCTACTTAAGTAGTGCGATATTTTCTCGTTGACTTTTGATGTCCTCATAAATTCAATTGTATCTTACAGAAAACATGCACAAAAACATTTTCTCTTGTAATTATTTGGTAGAAAATTGCGCTTGATCCAATTGTTTAGGTTGAGGGAAAGTATTTTCTGGTTTTAAGAAAGTTTTGAATTATGAGACTTTTGAGAATTTTAAGTGTTCATTCATACAACATCGCAATGGCACGTCTATAAGTGCCACTTATAAAGCATGCAACCTAGTTTTGTGAGTGCTCTATGGCGTTTTCGTAGCAGTCTAGAAAACTGTGTGATATTCCTTTGATGGAATGGATACTTTGTGCAGTTTGAAGCCTTGACTGCAAACGTAACTACAAGGGGGCGAAAAATTATCTGGAAATTTAAAAAGTTTTAAGGAACCGGAAGATGCTTTCTATTCAAGTAGAAATTCTGAAAAGACGTGATTTACCACCAAATGAGTACAAGAGACAATATTTTTGCGCACATTCTCTATATGACCTACTTGGATTTGTAATGTCATCAAAAGCCAACTTAAAAAATTAATACTTATTAAGTGGTCATTTTCACAGACGGCCGAAAAAGAGCTCATTCAAAAGCCGCCATCCTGATGTGGCTAAAATACCTTAGGATTATGATGCTTGATGATAAACATCACGACCCTGCTTAAGTAATATTTTCGAACCAAAACATATTTCGGAGTTTTGATTAACATTTCACGAGATAGCACACCTACCATACTTGCAGCACTTCGGACAGTCACGTGGAAGTCATGCCGACTCATCTATCCCTCGGGAATTGCGAAACCTGAGTCCTTGCGCGCTGCTCCCAACCATTACATCGTTACATCGCTCACTATAGCTTTCCTCCTTGCCTTCCTCATCTTCTCGTCGCATTCAAGTCGCCTCCTACCACCCGCAGCTAATTTTTTTGCAGTCAAACAGCGACGAAGACAGTAGCCGTGAAAGTTCCCCTATCCCCTTTTTATATTTTAAGTGGGGATTTGACTCGTCAAATATATCGTTTCAAGGCTGGCTAAAGAAGTCCAGTCCACAGCCTCATCTTGATGAGGATAATCATTGTCACTTCCGACTGAGGAACTAGCCGTCATTCCTAAGTACCGAACGGCGTGGCAACTTGTATTCTCGGGCCTTTTTGCAAATGTTTCTGTCTGAGAGTGAGATTATAGTTTTTGGATAAGCGGCCGATTTTCGCGGTTGGCCCTCCACGGCAAGGAGGAGTTCGCGTCTCTAAAGGGTTTTAGTAAGATGCGGTTTGGTAACCCCACCTGATGGAAAGAATACTGTTGGAGTTGGTGCTAAGTTTTAGGGGTTATGGCTAGGGCTATGGTCAGGGGTTAGTGTTAGGGCTTAGGGTTAAGGGTTAGCGCAACTATTTCTCAATCATTCAAAGTACAACCGCGCATTCCTATTGGCTTTTCTTCTGCATACAACTACTTGACCTCGTCGCCTGTGCGTTCCTGGTCCAACCTATAAAAACCCCTATTTCCACCGGTCCCGTATCAGAGATGAGTGGAGTTTGTGTGCTTCAGGTGGGGCTACATAACCACACCCGACCAAGGTTTTTGTTGCCGTCTATGTAAAGGCAAAAGCCGGTGTGTTGTATGATTCCAAGCCCTAGGTTTGTGGTTGGCATGACCTTGCACTCTTCCAGTGACGCATCAGCTGGGACTGCATCAAAACGTCTACCTCACGGGTCATGAGGGTAAAACGTCTCCTCCCGGCACTCATTTGAACTTACAGTCAGTGAACAGACTCATGAAATGCTAATTAAAACTCTGAAGTGCCCTTTTGCGACGTAATCCCATGATACTTCAGACAAGGCGGGGTGTTGGTCCTTGAATGCACTTCTTTTCAGCTGCTTAACCATCACGTTCTG